AAAGAAATAAATTTCTTTTCCAGATGTATAAAATGGCACCTTGAGAAGGGAAAGCCTTTACCACACAATCCTGACCACAAGTGACACATAACATCTCTGTCAGCTCTGTTGACAGTTAAATCACTCTGGTGACCAAAAGTTGAATGGAAACCACTGCATTGCTTGAACTGAGTCAAGTTTTCTATGTTCTTCCCTGTTCCCTGGGACTCAGCCCCTGTGAAGGAAAGTAACTTGATCTCAATTCCTCTTCAGAACTTTAAATAGCAATTTACTGAGTGCTCATCTTTGAGAAACTGAAAGTCAACAAAGTAGCTCGCTCCTCTAATGACGTTCTTCAAAATAAGGAAACTGCTATAGGGAGAATGTGGTTAATATTGCCCTTCATCATTTATTCATTTTACTCACAAAAGAATTAAACACAGATTAGTAGTTGTGCCACAGTCAGTGTCAAATCTTTTTTCTTTTCTGTAATCTGTACATTGTAACGTTGGCATCTAGGGCTCCATTTGGGGTTGAAGGATTCTAGAAAAATTGTGACAATTGTGGTTGGACCCATTGGTTTTAGAACAGTTTAAGAAGCTTTGGCTATGGTAGGTCGCATGTATAGGCCATCCATGGTTCCTTTTATTGTCCCCGAGTAATTGTCTCACCATCCAAGAAAGAGAATTTAGAGGTGAAGGAAGAGGTGACATAGGGACCAGGAGTAGGATAGGAATCAGGAATTAGAATCAGGGGAAGGACTTAGTGTGCAGACATGGGAGGACAGGGTGGATGTGTCCCACTGTGTCCTAAACAGTAGCTGCAGGGCCGTGACACTCCATGTTCCTGGGCTGGGACACCATAGTCATGAAGATTTGTCCATCACAAAGTGGTGCTGTAGAAGAGTGTGTTGTAGAGCGTGCTTCCTACCCCTGTTTGTTCTATCCTGGCTCTTTTCCATGACCCTGGAGAAGATGCCTGCATCCCTAACTGCAAAACAGGGAACTTGATAGTGCTTAACTTCCTGTAATGGGAATAAGCATGTTATACAAACCTTTTAGAACAGGCCTGGCACATAATTTAGGCAGTTTCAGTGTGAGCCATTATTTCGCCAGTGAAGATGACCATATATATTAAGGCAGCTTTCACTTCTTATTATAGAATGTCTCTCTTTTTTTTCATTTAACTGGTTTAAAACAGAGGGTTTCTGTTACTACCTCTATGATCATGGAAGAAAAGCAGTAATGTTTCCCTTCAAAAGAAACAAAATTCGAAAGTAAAATCCCAAAGAAGAATTGGCCTTGAGGGTCCTGAAAAACTTTTAATTTTGGATTCATTAAAGTTTTGTTTCCTGTGTTCCCAGGATGGGGCAGAGTTGAAAAGCCTTAGTACTCACTATTAGTGAATATTTTTAAAAGATCTTTTAAAATTCCACAAAATATGTATTTTTAACAATATATAGTGGGGTTTCTACCTTCAAGTAATTATTACTTTAGATCTTATTGTCTCTTGAGATTAATTTCAATTTTATAGTAGAATTTTATGTCACTTATGCCAAATTTTATTTCAATTTCTCTTTTCCAATTCACTCAGCAATTAAAAATTTCATGGGAGAAAACACAAATTTATAGCAAAGGCAGCACGTTGTATGAGATGAGTGCCTGGGAGCTGTTCATGCTCAGTTTGGAGCATATTCCCCTTCTGGATTTTTAAGTAGCCACAAAAATCTATATTCACTGTATCAGTGCTATCGTGGTGACTAGAGACATAGCCATTCTCGATGTTCCACAATCACCAAAAATGAGCTCTAGCCATTATGATTCCATGTGAAGTTCTGCTTCCACCACAGTACTGCTGTGGTATTAAATGTGGTGTGACATGTGGCTATTGCACTGCTGTACTTGGCTACTATTGGAGTACTTACTACCAGCCCAGTATCTATGATTCACCTAACACTAGTGGAGATCACACCAGGCCAAAGGCACTGGGGTTTCTTTGTGACTGCCCCTTCGACTAGATATACTCCCCCTTATTCAAAGATTGTGTTTTAAATCTGAGTAAGTGCCAAACCAAGAAGCATGCTGGGCATGTAGTAGTCACTCAGTAAATATTTGTTGAATGAAAAATTAATGGAAACAAAAACTATGTGGTTTACAACAGAATGCTAATGTCAAAATAACCCATCAAAAAGAGGAAAAACAGCATCTAGAGTTTATGAAGTCTTAGAGCATGAGGTCATTAAAAAAATCCTTCAAATAAAAGATTGCCTGCATTCTAAGATTACAGTTAGGATACATTCCTAGTATGTCTGGACTCTTCTAATGAGCTGTTCCTGGAAAGAATTAAGAGAGGTGAAAAAGACCTAGTTAAAGTCTTAGTGTCTGAAAACCACCTTTTAGTATTTAAAAAGGTATTAATCATGATCATTATCCAATAGAAAGGAATGTTCACAGATACACAGAAGAAATGTTTGCTAAGGTAAAATGTCAGAGAAAAGGAAAGCATACATGCATGCTCAAGGCTGAAGATGAAGTTTTTTTGTTTTTTTTTTTTTTTTGATTCAACCAATTATAGCTACTGAGAAAGAACAATTGATCAGAGGGAAACATTATTGCATGATGTATAAAATACTGCCAAGGTCAGCAGAAACTGTTTGTGTGTGTGTGTGCGTTGTTTTGCTTTTTGTGGCAGCAGTTGAGAAACAAGTTTCTGGGGCCAGGGATGTAGCTCAGTGGCACCTCACTGGCCTGGCAAGTGCAAAGTCCTGAGTTCAATTCCCAATACCAGAAAAAAAAAAAAGAAAAACAAGTTTCTTACAAGCCTTACTTGGATGTTATGCTTAGAAGTTACTCAACACCAAGGATTTGGAAACTACTTTTATTTCCTTTAGTATTAGATGACAGGAATGAGTTGCAAAGATGTTCAGTAAATCCTCATGCTTTTATGATTTTTACATGGCTATCCTTTAATGTCAATGCTTTTAATGTTTATTCATGATGGATCCCCTGGTTTTCCTTTTGTTTTGTGCTTCTTAGAATTATTTCTAAGTGAGTAACTGTACCTGAAAGATTTCTGAAGTCACTTGAAAAAAATCCACAAAATCGCGTCATAGTTGTGTACAAAATGTCCCACATGGATTATTTTTGGACATATATAAAATGTGTAAGAATTTTAGCTCAGAACAGAATCAGCTGGGCTCTGGGCACCCAAACTTTTATCCTCAGCTATTCTATGCTTACTTTATAGCTTTCAGGCCAGTAGAGAAGACTTTATTATATTGTTTTGTTAAGGATGGTATAAGACTAGTTTTTTCCTTCCACTAATTGTTGCAACTGCTCAATCTTGGATATCTACACTATTGGCTGATGTGAACAGAATATGCCTTGTCAAAGTGGATGGTTGAGTTAGGGACCAAGATTCAGAACCCCAGAGAACAAAGGACCAAACTCCTAGACTCACATTAGAATTAAACTTGTTACTCAGGAACCCTCAGGGAGGAGGATCCCAAGTTCCAGCCCAACCTGGGAAACTAAATAACTTAATGAGGCCCAGCCTCAACATTTTAAATTTCAAAAGGCCTGAGGATATACCTCATTGCAAAGGCCCTGGGTTCAATCTCTGGTACTGAGAAAGAAGAAAGGAAGAAATGAGAGAGGAAAGGAGAAGGGGGGAGGTGAGGAAGAGTGGGGAGAGAGGGAGGGAGGGGAGAGAGAGAGAAGGATGAATTAAGCCTGCGATCTGAGAATGGATCATACATCATACTGTTTCACTACTAAGACTTCAAAGAATTTTCATGCTTTCTTCAAGTTAATCTCAGTACCGCAGTTTGCTTTCTATATGATCAAATCACTTAATCTAAGTATGCCTCATTTTCTTCTTATGATTTGTAATCATCATAAAAACTTCTTAAATACAGAGGTATCTTTCTTTGAGAATTACTACTGCTGAGAATTTAAAAATTCCAAAGCCTATAATCATTCAGGAAATGTTAGGCCACATTCTAAAACTATTTCTACTCAACAACAAAGCGAAATGGCAAAATCAGGAAGTAGATAATAAAAGACAGATCACATTTAGACAAAGACATGGTTACTTTTTTATTTGAAGGGGGAAAAAAAATGTATGTTTTAATAAATACTGCAGAAACACTGACCAAACATACAAAGTGACTTCAACATTTTTTTAAAAATGCAACAAAAATTCTGCTTTATAACAGTTATAACTTATTTTCTTTTTACAATATTTAAATACAGAAAGCACTTGCCAGCTATTTTGTAATACTGCCCAAAGCATAATGCTGCATCAATCAAAGAATATCATGTTGGGGAAAATGTCTGTATGTTGTGGGAAATGACTCAAATGGTATTTTGTTGCAGAGACAAAACAAAGTGCTTGTAAGACACAGAACTGAGTGTTGCAATTACCTTAATCTACTCTCCTGCCACAATTTAATGGGAGCACAGCTTCAACACTTCAAAAATGAAGCATTATAATTGGAAAGAAAGCTCGCTTTTAACAAGCCAACAATAGACAGGTCAGATCTGGCTTCTTCTCTGAAAGAATCCCTAAATGAAACAGGTTGAAAATCTATCTGTAAACTGTTTTAAATGTTGATTATTTTATGTAACAACAAAGATAGAATTTAAACCTGGACCTGGGCTGAATCTGGTTGAGTGGGTCTTAGCAATCTCTTTCAGAAATGCCCTAAAAAAAAGAAAGAAAAAAAGAAAAAGGAAATGCCCTAGTGTAATGTTAGGACTGGCATTATATAATTTTCTACTAGGGATTCTCTAAAGCTTGGGTAAGTGGGTTTTTCTCAAATCGATGTTCATTTAAGGAAAGTGAAACAAACCAACAGATCATTAGGTGCTGCCAAGTGGAGCTTCATCTCAAAATAAGAGTTCATTTGCTCTGTACATTTGGTAACTTATTTCCTGACACCTTTACTCACAAACTGTGCTTTCTGATACTAGTCCGTCATTCATTACCTCTCCTGCTGAAAATAGTACCTATGTTTTTCTCCCTTGGTTCATTCTATGACACAAAGCAAGACATTTTTATTTGACTTTGCATTTTTATCAACGATGGCCAAAAAAAAAAAAAATCACACACCCTCTTTTCTAAACAGCACACAAAAATATTACATTGAGCAATTTACCACTTGTTAATGACAATCACAATTATGAACAGAACCATCAGACTGAATAAAAATCAACACTTCTTTCTATTTGATCTATGCAATCTTTATAGTGCTGGCCTACAATCTTGCAAGGCTGCAAATGCCTTTAGGACCATCTTTCTCAGCAGCCATCTTCAGGAAGGCAAGATTTCAAAGCCTCATGAAGTTTCCCTCTGGAATCCCATGGGTCCTGATACAATTTCCATTTTAATGATGAGCTAGTAGGAAATTAGATCACATCCTCCAGAAAACTAAATGTTAAGGTCACAGTGCCAGTTCCCCAATGAGGATGGTGTATTACTATATATTCTTTGTAAAGGAGATTAAAACATTTAAAAATTAAATCAAAGTAGAGATCCATGAATAGAATGTAACAAGAAAACAACCAAACCAAACCAAAAAAACAAAAGGGCAAGCACCACTTGGGTTGATTTTTCTTCTTGGAGGTACTTGCCTTCCTCCTCACCTATCTCTAGCCCATTTGTATCTCTTTTTTTGGCATATTTTTCAAGTCACACTCCAAAACACTTCAATATATTCACTTCTCACCATGTGGTCTACATGGCGAGCCTAGGGACAGGATTCCACAAAGATGGGTGTCCTCTCAGGGCCTCCTAAGTCTGCGATGTACATGGCTTTGGCTGTGCACTTCATTCAGACTTCACCTTTTTGTTTTTACACTAGATTCACTTGTCCTCATTAAAGATAATGAAAGATTCACATCACAGTGCAGCTCTTTGCTTTGTCCTTTCTTAAGTCCGTAGCAACTGCCGAGAGTTCTGGTCTGCTAGGCATGTGTGAAATCCGCTTTGTGGCCCTCTGTGATTTGTTCCGCTTAACATTTTTATTTGTCTTATTTACACATGCCAAGGTGGCAACGTGGAAAATGTCTCTGACACTATTTTCTGACTGTAAAGCTGAACATTCAATATAAGTAGCTGCTCCAATCTGTTTGGCCATATTTGCCCCCTGAGAAAGAAAAGAAGGGATTTTAATTAGCAATAAGACCTTGGGAGAAAGCTATAAAGTGTCTTCTAATACCACAACACAATTCTTATTGCAAAACATTTTCTAACACGTCCACTGAATTTTCCAAGTGTTGCAAACAAAATTTTTTTCATTGATCTGTGGTACTCTATTTATTGCTTCATGAATATTTGTGATCAAGACCCAGGCCTAAGGTGCTCAAATATTATTATTCAATAAATATCTGCTGTAGCTTCCCATAGCTTCTAAAGCCTGATCCAAAGTCACTGGGTCGTTAATACATGAGGGCCTGGATCATCAAATACTTCATCATATGAGTTGATACAAAGAATTAGGAGAGGCACTAAGGAGGCCATTCATCCTCAACAGCAAATTTTACTAAGAGTGACTGGTTACCCTGGAAGACTCCAAGGTCATCACAAACACAGAATCTCAATACTGCAATATGTTGGCTGAAGGTCATGAGCACAAGCTTTATTTTCCACATAGTTCTGGTGGGGACAAGATGGCTTTTAGAGCCTGTTCCTGCTACTCATGTGCACTTTCTCTGTTCTTGACTATACATGTCAGTCAAAGCTAGTCAACAGGTTGTGCAAAACATAGGGGCAATGGAAGGAATTTAAAATCAATTTGAAATCAATTTATGCGATTGTGTCTTACAGTCAAAATAAGTTGAGAAAAGGAATATGATCATGACATTTATTACTCTATGGAACACAAAGCATGTAATTTCTAAGTGTGGATAATGCTGCCAGGATACATAATAGCAAATATGCACATAATCAACATGACTTACGTAAATAACCAAAAATTTTTAATTACAAATGCAAGATGAAGAAGATTTCAGTGTATTTTGAAAAAATTTTCTTGGTCTTGGGAGATTAAATCCAAGACCTCAAGTATTTTACCACTGAAAACATCCCTAGCCCTAGATTGCATTATTTTAAATGATGAATGTGAAATATGATCCTAGCTATTTCAACATGAACCCTCTTCAGAATCTGCTTGTGGGTTTTAAGAGAATGAACTTCTGAAACTAATTTTCCTTTACAGGTGGTAAACACCTGTAGAAATACTAAAAGAGTTTTATGGAATAGTCTAATGGTAACAGCCTATTTTAGGATTTTATTGGGCTGCTGAATATAAAATAAGATTACTTCTCTAAAAGAGAACTACTGTACTTGAGCGCATTATCTCTCAAATTTTCTGTACTTTAAACCCACTTGTAAGTGTAGGAATATACCAGGGTAACACATGATCAACTATTTATGTTCATAAATAATATATGATTACATTACTGAATGACAGGGCATTTCACACTTCACAGATGACCACTGGCTGAACCTGTAGAAAAAGCAGCTGATTTTTATTTTATTTATTATGAGTGATATTCCATTTCTTTCACCATGAAAATCACTTTACACACTGATACCATACGTACCTGATCATATGACACTGGTGTCTGCCTGTGATTTGAGAGCTCTACTAATGTACTAACATCCGTCCTCAGGTCAGACTTGCAGCCAACCAAGAGCATTTTGGTATTGGGACAAAACTCCTGGATTTCACCCTTCCACTATGAGAAAAAAAAAAAAAAAGTTAACAAACATTGGAATTTAGATGATGAAATGATTTTTCCACTGACAGAAACTGGAAATGGTACTCAAAAAGGATATCAAAAAGAGTGTTACTTCAAATGAAGACACAAACTTACATTTCTTTCCCAGACAGACAGTAAGTACTACTACTTTTTAAAGTGGATCCATTAAGGAATGCCATGAATATTATTATGACTCATCTATCCCTAGTGAAAGAGATTTATTGGGTGTTGTCAGAAAGTAGATTCAATAATTTTTTAATTATCGGGGGTATCCCTGAAAAATAATTATATATCATAACCAGGAACTATATACTGTTGAGCTAGTGCTTTCCAGGCTGAGACTGGGACTAAAACAGAGCCAAATCTAGGGGAATCACTGAAAGACTGAGTATTGCATCACCTGCTGCAGGCTCTAATGAGGCATCTGAGCAACAGTTAGTAAAATACAATGTCTTGCCAAGGAGCTGCCTTTCATTCAAGTGGCTGAAAGAATATAGACCATCACAGGTGCAAAGAACTATCTGCTGGCTGTTGAGGAAGGCAGTTAGTCTTGGTCCTTTTGAAGTTGAATAAACTCTAACTTTTTTTTTTTTTTTTTTGAGACAGGGTCTCACTATGTAGTTCAGGCTACCCTTGAACTCACTGTGTAGCCCAGGCAGGCCTCGAACTCATGGCGATCCTCCTGTCTCAGTTTCCTGAGATCTGGGGTTACAGGTATGTGCCACCACGCCCAGCTACCTGTACCTGTTTCAATCTAGTTAAATTTGACCAGTTGTTTCATAACCTAACCAGAATTATTAGAATCTCCCAAAACACCTGATAAGGAATTCTAATTGTCCTCTTTAAAAGCAAGCAGATGATATCTTGTAGCTTTGCTTTCTCCCGAATGAGCTCTCCATTGTCAGGACAGGATCAGGAATTCCAAGTGTTCACAGTAGAGCTCTGGGTCTTGCGAGACCAGGGGTTATAGGGGCTGAAACTCCTCCACCCACATCCATAAATATGTCTCAAGTGCTCTATGAAGTATTGTTGTGATGATAAAATCGATTAAGACATAGCTGTGTCTTCTGGAAAGGAATTCACAGAAGAGCAAAGGAGATGAAGTTATGCATCTAAGTGTAATGCTAGATGAGAGGGAGACCCTGCCCTATTTGTGCTTGATATACAGTACTCAAAATTGAAAGGACTTAAAAAGTGAAAAAGAGCCTTTGACCTACTAAGAAAGTCACATTTTATTGAACTGTGTTTATGATGTTTAGTGAAAACAGAGAAGAGTGATTATACATCAAACCCTAATTTCATGACACACAAGCCAAGCAACCAAATATCATAGAGATATAAATTAATAAAAGTGTACAGGATTAAAACTCCACTAAAAATAAAAAACAAAAGAATCCAAACAAATCAAAACAAACCGAAAAAACCCAGGCCACCTATAGAGCTGTTTCTCCTTCTCAATCCCCTCATTTTATTTGGGTCACATGGGTGACCCTTGCCCCCACATCCTGTGTCTATGCCATGTGCATGGAGAAGAGGGTCCTCCAGCAACATCTGACTCTGAAACCCACAAAACTCAGGCCAGGGCAAGAAAAGAGCCTGTGTCTAATCAGTGCTGCTCCCTGACCACCGTGCACTGTGTATAACTACCCTACCTACCGGGGCTGAGTCACTAGAGGCCCAGGAATGCCCCCACCTCACAGGCCCCATTGGGACTCCTAACTCATCTTCAACAGTGCCTTCTTCCCATCTATAGAAACTGACTACCTTTGCCTCCAGAAACCTGGTGTATGTGATCATTTATAATATGCTCTCAAGTATTGTCTTTATTAGTATTTGACAATTCACATAGTACCATACCAGGAGACATATTCTTATTCCTTCCACACTAGTACATTTCTGTTCACAACAAACAACATTATAACTAAAGAACGGCTTTTTTATTAAAATAACTATTACTGCATTCAGTTCAATATTTGAAGTCAAATGTTAATTTGCAAACTAAAGCTCAAAGTCTGTTTGGCAAAAAGGATAGGAAAGAAAGATAGAAGGAAAGTAGGCATGAATACAACAGTACTAAAATATAACTATTTTAGCTACATCATTCCTCCCAAAAAACAAATATGGATGCTTCTAAATGGTATTTTGTTCCAGAGCTTTATGAAATAAAATCTCAAGCAGATTAATTGTCAAAATTCATGAAACATATGCAAGGAAAGCCTGTTGGTATGACAGCATCTTTCCCAAAGGAAATCAACTAGAGCCTCTGAGCTCCCCAGCCAACCACTGTTTTTATTTTTTGCATCTTCCAGCACTAAACTGTACCATTGAGCACCAACACTTGCCTTTTTAAGGACACTGTCCAGAGTCTCGGGTCTACTGATGTCAAAACAGATCAGCACAGCATCTGAATCTGGATAAGAGAGGGGACGAACGTTGTCATAGTATGGAGAACCTAAGAAGAAACAAGGATGCACAGGTTAACAGGAAAGTCCCTTTGTCTGTCGTGCAGTAGCTCTTCCCCTTTGAGGTAAATCTCTTCACTGTCACATTGCAACCCCACCCCTGCTTCCCTTAATTCTTAGAAAAGAAATGCAAACACACTAAAGCCAGGTTAGAAATGTATCCACTTCTTCCAGAAGATGAACGATACCTTACACATATCTGATCTGCAGGAGGACAGGATCTTAAAGCCGAGTTCAAAGACTAGAGATAGAAGGCACCTGGGTGAAATAGGAAAGCACTTGGGGCCAAGTGGCCTTGAGTGCAAATCTACCTCCACTACTGAAGGGGGAGAAAGCCTAGTGTCTCTGTAAGGCTGTGCCTCTGGTTCTTCATTCATTAAGTGAAACTGAGGACAACATACCTGCCTGGGATTAAATAAATCCAGGAAACACCTGGGATTTAGTAAAGGTTTGCTAAATATTAACTAGGTTTAAGGTGGATGGGTTACTTCTATGGTTAGAAGCTGAGCACCCTAAAATGAGCCATTTCTTAGGAATGAGACCAAAGCAAGATCAATCCAGTAGTAGAACTGGAGTGGATAGAGGAAAGAGGAAGAGGGTAAGTTTGACCATGCAAAGAGGGCCATGGTAATCCACAGGGTCACCTATCTCCAAGTTATCAGTTTGGACAAGCATTGACCTTAAGCTTACTTATTTAAACTTATTCCCAAAACTTATAAGTTTTTGTTATAGCCAAGAATGTATTCAATGCCATGTTGGACCATGCCACTTTTTTTTTATACAGCTCTACTTTTAAAGGTGACACCATAGCATGATCAGAAGATCCTGACCCGAATTAAATCTTGGCTACCCTAAAAGCTCAAATTACCAAACAATTAATTTAGCCACAGAAATTCTCTAGGGTCTTACAAAGTTTATTCTACTCCTTCAAGAATTCTGAAGGATGGGTAATTACACGAGGCCAATAATTATGACGTAGTATAACTATAAAATTAAAGGCAACATTGCCAATTGCTACTTTTTCAAGTAATCATTTTTAGCACACTGACATTTCACAAACATGACATGAAAATCATTTTAGTAGGAATATTTGATTCCTAAAGAAAGAAAATGTAAACCACCAAAGCGTTTTTTAAAACAATTTCATTTTCACAGGATTTTCCATTTCCAGCAGAAAAACATGGTATATTGTCCCCTCTTAAGTAAAAAAACCTCAATAGTTAAAGCCACAAAGAGAGAAAGAAGCTTTTAAGATAATCTTTTATGTTTCTATCAAAATAAAAATTTTCAGGGACCCATTTTTATGTCTTAGTGTGAGCCATCCCGTGTTCAGCATGTATTCTGGGTCCCTAGCATTCAATACAGCACCCCAGGCTACACTGCTGCTTTCTCATTCATTGCTTTAGAGATGGAAAGCAACAACTTCAAGCCAGGTAGGCCTGATAAGAAAAAAAGGGAGACTGTTGTAGGAATCAGGAAGTAAAGTGTGAGTAAGTAAAGATAAGCTAAGCAGGAACTGTTCCAGAGCTATACCAGCTTTCCACTCATATCTGGAATCAGGATCCTACTACAGCAGGTCCTGACAATTGAAAGAAATTTCCCCAAACCTTATAGGGTTTAGAGTTTAAAAAGTCAACTCATTTAAATATTAAGATATATTAGAATGAGGCTGTCTCTCAAAATGACAAGCTGTGGCTGTCTTTTCAGTTACTTAAAGGAAAGTGAGGTTATGATAATTACTCACAAATAGTTCACCCATTTAAACATTTGAGAGGAGTCAGGAATGAGCTGGCTGAATACCATATTAAAGTCTAACTCTGACATAGCTCCTGCTATAAGCTTTTGAACATCCCTTTCCAAACAGTTGGAAAATCCAAGACCATAGAGTGGAAATCAAAATGCTGGACATGTACAGGAGGATTTTCTCCTCTCCTCAAAGTTAGCAAGAGATGGAATGACCCTAAAGTCAGAACTGCCAACAATAAAGATTGTCAGAAACTTAACCAGACTTCAGAAATCTCCTTTCTTGTAAATTATTCACATTAACAAACAATGCTCTCCTACCTTCCAGTCTCAAGCTGACCTGAACTTGAGGACCAGCTTCTCCTGGTGTCTCACTCTTTCAGGACTGGATGGCGTAGGATATAGGTATACTATCTGCAAATATGGCACCTTAGACTACTCTACCTGACAAAGGAGCCCATCTTTTCCAAATACAAAAATTATGAAAGGTGGCTGAAGAAATTCCAAGGAGCAAAAGTAGCTTACTTAAAATTGGAATTGCCAGGAAAATCCAGAGTTATGATTTCAACATTCAGGTCAGGAGGTGGCTTACAGAGAACACGGCCCATCCATTGTGAACTGAGTTTCCCCTCCCCCAGCCATTTTATGGCCACAAAAGGGATCTGGCTTTGTGTTCAGCTCTCTTACAAAAGCTGGAGATGCCGGCTTCCGTGCTTAGTGGATATATGCAAATATCTGCAAATTTTAGACTTTAGCTTGATTTTAAGATGAAACAGATTTTTCAAATTAAACCAAATTCTCATGGAGCCTTGTTTTTGGTTTTGTTTTTATTTGGTTTAATAGTTTGAGTGAAAATACATATGTGTCGTAAAGGTTCATGAGAAATAAACCACTATGCTTGTGAAGGTAAAGAGGTAATTTTAAAGAGCTTTAACAAGATCTAATTAGGAATGACACTTTGATCTGGTCTTATTGCTTTTGCTAAGAAACAGTGCTGCTTTTAGATCAACAAGAGTATGCAAAGGTACTAATAAACCAGATCCACACTTTTATTAGTTATAAGCATAATTTGTCTGACCACCAGCGATAGGATTAATTTGCCATTAAAAATAACAAGACTACTTAGTCACTACATTTTTTTTGATAGGTTAATGTTGAAACTGTTTTTTTTATGGTAAAATCATTGGCCCTATTTTTTTCACAGTAAGAAAACTTGTATAGAATTTAAAAAGAACTGCCCCATCAGAATCGATCTAAAAATTCATCAGCTGAGAACCTTCAAGAAAACAAAAATGCCTGTGTGACTTTACAGTGTTTACTCTGTGTTTAGGCACTTTGAATGCTCTCCTGTTCTTCCCATAAAGCTCATGTGACCTTGCAAAGGAGGCAAGGCAAGCAAAGCTGGAGAGGATGGCAATCCCAAACCAAGAGAAAATGGAGAGGAATCCCAAGAATGCCCTGCTCCTGTGAGAAGCAACCCAGGGAGGCAGAGGTGACACCCAAAGGGGAGCCAAAATTAAGACCACAAAGGAGGAACAATACCTGCTCTATATGTCTGGAAAAGTCCTATGACACCTAGTGAAGCTAAATAGCAAAAAAGTTAACTCCTATAGATATTTTTTTTCTTAAAAGATGCACAAAAAGCTTTATAAGAAAGAGATGAACATATTTTACTGTGAATGCAAGTATTATACTTTACAGCACACTGATGTGCATGCAATCTGCACTCTGATACCTAGGAATGTACTACATTTAAACTCCAATAAATCTAGGTACTGAGCTTTGCTTGTCAAATAAAACTTTTTCAGCTTTCTTTTTCAGTGTGTAATAGGCTTCACGCATATGGAGATCCACATATGCATCAATTCTCTTATACGTTATGAAACATTAAACCTACAATGCTGTTCCAAGATCCTCTTTTCTAAATAGCCATCCTTTTAAAAGGAAACTGTAGGAAACTCTATTGCAAAAATATAAGTACAATGCACATGCAAAATGTGTGCACCACCAAAAAATATAGTTGAAAGGCTTTGCTGGGGTATAGATTCAAATAAGTTTGCTTCTGAGATTCTTGCTCAAGTTTGGCAAACATGAGCAAAGTTTAAAAGATATTTGAAACTGTAGATTTACCCATCTTTGTCTTCAAGATCATTAATTTCAAGTGAGAGTAAAATTTCCAGCCCAAGAATAGTCACAAAGCACCTCGCCCAGAAACTAATTCTTCAGACACATACCTGCCTGTTGAAGTCACCCTTTCACAGGCACAGAACACACCATATATGTACATAATTAAATGTATATGTAAGAAGATTCATGTTCAAAAGGGAGGCTTCATGGACTTTCTGCAAAACCAGTTCAAACACTGTGTGGTTTTAGAGGAGACTGAGAGTTGAAAACTCTTCTTGTTGAATATTTTCTAAGTATAACTTCTTATACTTGAACCTTAATTTGAAAAGCTTCCCTTTCCTTAGTAAGAAATCCCTACCCAGAACAGTAAGTTAGGAAAACTATAGATTCTTGGCATGGAAAAATATATTAACGTTTGGTATTTTTAGTGACCACCAAGAGCACATCTGTGCCAAGTAGTAGCTAAAATGTGAGACTCCATGAACTGCCCAAGTCCTAGAAGCAATGCCCTTCCTCATGTCACTTCTGATCAACACGAAGCACTTACATACAGCAATCTCAAGAATGCAAACTAAGTCTAAGCAGAACTTTTATTATCTGGCTCAGTATAAGACTTGTTTTAACTCTTTTCCAGGTTGTCTACACTGAAAATACCATGAACTCCAATGTGTTACAAATATTCCCAGGAATGATATTTTGTTTGTTCCAGAGAATCAGACTAATAGAAACTGTGAACAGAGCTTATGCAAAGTTTGGGCATTTAAGTGTTGCTATAAAAGCTGAATCAATATTTTCTATTTCTAGGGGCAATACAGTTACACCATTGTGCAGAAAGTCAGACAAGTAGAAATAAAACTGCTGCTTTGAGGCTTTAACTAAAACTTTCTACACTAATCTCACTGAAATATTTAAAAGTATAGAAGAATCAAAATATTTTACTGAAAGTGGAAACATCAGAGATAAAAGTGTGTATGTATATATTTTTGAAACTCACACTACCATTCAGTAACAGATTAAAGCTTTTGTTTCATATAATATGTGAGTCAGATTCCTTAGAAAAGGAATCTCAAGAGTGAATTTACCTTTCTACACACTATGTCATCAGGCTCATTTTTCAAAA